TAGATCTATTTCAAGCTATTTAGCTCTCATCAGCTAGTCATACCCTTACTGGGATTCGAACCTGTGCTGTATTGCATCTTATTGCATCAATAAGATGTAATAACACAATCAGACTGGATTCTGCGCAATGCTGTGCATGTTCACATCTAGAAATTTTCTTTTCCCAGGTAGGAAAATCACCCATAAATAAGAAATGTTTGGCAGCAAATGAAGTTATTCAGGCTAGAAATGTATACGTACTTAGCAACACAGACATTCCCTTGAACACATGAGGCTTTCCTTCTGAAGAAATTGCGCAAAGATGCTTTGACAAGGAATGAACCACTGTGTGGAAGCTATAAGATCTTTTTCAACCCTGGCTGAATATAACCTTGTACCTAAATAGTCAAACTGTTTTGACAACGTGACTGGTATTTTTAAGAGTTTCAATTGACCATATCAAGTGGGGTAGCTATGTCAAATACAAAACAATGAAATAGCTCTGTTGTTTTCATTTGTTAAAATTAGCATTTTAAGGAATACCTACCCTTCCTGCTATATTTTGTTAGTTAGCCATATAATCTCTGCCTATTTTACAAGATTCTGCTTGTGGGTTAAGCTTTCCATATTTAATGCCTGCTAGAGGTGATGATTCCCTCCCACCCCCCCTAACTAGGATAATGCGGGCAGCCTTTATCTTAGTTAGTGTAATGGTTCCATTGCGGCATAGAACCCAAATCACTCTATGAAAAATTCATGGCTGATTTTTTAAAAAATTGTGATCTTTTACTAAGCCCAAAATGGCTGATAAGGGAAAAGCAGAAAACATGCAAGAAATCTTAGAAAAGGAATTCAAAAACATAGAAGGGAACACCAATTTTGTTGTATTTAAGTACAATGACAATAAAGATTACACTAGTTCTCTTCCCTGAATGACAATTACTTAAGACTTCCATCCAGATAAATGTATTGTATTGATTCATATATGGAGCAGAGTATTTCAGAGAACTACTATCCATTCTCAGATTTGCCCCTAAGAAGTCAATAACTTTCAGGGCCTAAGAATGCAGAGGAGTTTAGACCATCGGGTACTGGAAAATGAAAGCTTTAGCGCAGGGGTGTCAAACTCAATTTCATTGAGGGCACACCAGGATTGTGTTTGGCCTCGGGGGGTGGGGGGGTGGCGGTGGCCAAGGGTGTGCCCAGCTGAACGTAACTCATGTTGGGGACACCTGTGGTGGCCAAGTGCTAAGGCAGGACTTCCCTCAGACCCTCCCTCACTCTCATTATAATCCCCTCCCTCCCTTCCTTTTCTTCTTTTTCCTTCCCTCTTCATTCTCCTTTCTTCTTCCTTCCCTCTTTCCTTATTTTTACTTCCTTGCTCTCTTCCCATCTTTCTTTCTTTTTCTTTGTCTTTCCTCTTCCTCTTTCTCCTTTCCTGTCCCTTCTTGCATGCTCAGATGCAAAAAGGGAAACATTTCTCCCTTTGCTTTGTTTTTAGTTTGTTTTGCTAGCCCTTTGCCAGCAAAAATGGAGCTTGGGAGGGGGGAGCTCCTGCTTTAGAGCCATCATGAAGTCACATCAGCAGTGAGTTCATTTTGCTGAGAGTATAACCCTTAAATAACAGCCTGTATTGGTGACCTACTCAAAACATCTCCCTGTTTTTCCCTCTCTGCAGGTCAGTCATGCAGCCACTGCAGAAATCCTTAGCGACAAAGTGCGTTTTCCTTCTTTCCTGCGCACAGTGCCCAGCGATTCCTATCAAACCAAAGCAATGGCACGATTAATCCACAAATCAGGATGGAACTGGATTGGAATCATCGCCACTGATGATGACTTTGGGCGACTCGCTGTGGAAAGCTTTGGGTTACAGGCCATGGCCAACAACGTCTGCATTGCCTTTAAAGAAATGTTGCCAGCTTATCTCTCGGACAGCACAATCCATGGCAAAATTAATCAAGCGCTTGAGAAGATTGTCAAGGAAACCAGGGTAAATGTCATCGTTGTCTTTCTGAGGCAATTCCACGTAATGAGACTTTTCAGAAAAGCAATAGAAAGGAACATAAATAAGACCTGGATTGCAAGTGATAACTGGTCAGCGGCTGTGAAGATTAGCACCCTTCCAAATATCAGTCGCCTGGGGAAAGTGGTTGGATTTACATTCAAAAGTGGCAACATGTCCTCTTTCCATGAGTTTTTGAGCAATCTCCCGACCACACCCAGGGGCAAGAACAAATTTTTAAGGGAATATACAAAGCTAATGTCAACATGCTCCCATATAAATGATCAAGATCTGAGTAAGTGCATTTCAAACCATTCAGCAGAGAGTTTGGTCCAAAATCAGACTCGCCCAATTAACAGCCTTTGGCGAGAGGAATTTCTCATTGCCAATATTGAACCAGGATTTATCCACAGCACCATGCTGGCAGTGCATGCCATTGCCAAGGCCATTCAGAAACAGTGCAAGGACAGAGACTGCAAAGATCCATATGCTTTCTCACCTTGGGAGGTAGGGCTTGATAATATTTTTCATGCTCTTTTAGTTCTGCTTTGCATCGCTTCCTTCCTTACATATTAGTGCACAAATATTAATAGTAGGATCTATTTTTGTTATTTAATCATGATGACTATCATGATAGATCATGATGATGATGATCTATCATCAAGATTAAAATATCTTGTGTGTAACATATGGTTGTGTTACATTCCACATGTGGTGTTCTGGTTTCTTAGCAGTTGAAATTGTGTTCATGTCCTTGCTTCTGCAATCCTGAGATCTTTGTTTGTCATGGTAGTTGGAGAAACCTTACATGACCTTACAGATCATACAACAGCGTCCACTTTCACTGGATTCGCAAACATGCCAAGCCATGTCTTGTTGAGTGAGCCATAAACAGCTGGATTCATAGTAGTACATGCTAAACTAAAACCAGACAAACCGCATCATGACTTAGGATAATGTGTGACTGTGCCCTGTGTTTGAGGATAAACAGATCATATTTGAAACTAAGGAGCCATTTACAGGGTCAGTTTCCACCATTAAAATTTAATTCCAATAAGGAGTTAATTGAAATGTAAAGGTTTTTTTGGAGGGGGGGGGAAGTTTCATTTTTGTTCCTAAAAAAATACAAATAGACACCTTTAGTAGTCCATATATCCCTCTTTTTCTCACCAAAAGAGACCTACTTGATTACTTATCTATTGATTGAGTATTTTATAATTTCTGGGTGGATCAGAAAGAAACCCAATCAAGATGCCATGAATGCATCCTGGCAAAAGATCAAATCCCAAATTCTGAATATCACATTTGAGTTAATTCTTTTGAAAGAAAAATCCTTAGTTTTAAGAATAAAATTTTGTATTATGATCTGTAGTAATTTGCTCCTATCTCAGCAACAATCTATTGTTTCATCATGCTGTTTCTAAGTGTCATTGGAGACGCTTGCTGTACGTTACTTTAAAAAATCCTAAGCAAAACATCATAGAAAGCCACACCGGTTTTTCCCACAGATGAAAGAATAAAGAGACGAAAGAATAAAGAAATAATCTCAGTGAGAGATACCCTTGATATTATCAAGAACTGGTGCTTAGCATATACTGAGGGCTCTTCATCCATTTCAATGCAGCCGGTTTTCATGCAAGTCCTTAGTTAGTCTGACTCTAAATAATGGCCATGTTCACTTAGTTAATAGACAACCAACGCTGGCCTAATGCTTAACCATCTCTTAGCAAACTAACCTAACAATTTTCTAGAAAATGGCTTTCAAACAGGAAAAAGGGTATTGCTAGCTTCTTTCTCCAGTATCAGCCAGAGCAGATATTTCCACTTCAGCTAATTTTCTCTAACTTTGCCCTTTCACTCAAGATCAAATATAAATAAACCATTCCTGACTTAAAAGAAGCAGTTTTGTGCCTTTCAAGTACCCAAAATATAACTACCCGAAAATCATTTATCTTCCTCTAAGAGAGGCAAAACAGGTGTAGAGCTATAATAATCAATCAAATGGAATCCAATTGACATTTTTATCTAAATATCAGGGCTGGAATATTCTCTCCTGCATTTTTCTTTTTCCCTTATACAGCAGAATCTATTTGTAAGGCAAATAACGAAGCACCCTTCATGGCCCTTAACCTTCTTTTGATCTTGTAATTGAAGAAATATTTGTAAGTATGTGTAACCCTGAAGTCATAATCCTCCTGGACAATCGATGCAAACGTCTGATAGACATATATATGAGTGTATCTGGATTAGTTGCACACATTCTACCAACTTATCCAAGCTTTGGTTATTTAGGATTGGATCTTCTCTGTCACAGCACCTACCCTATGGGTCAACATTCCCCCAGATAGTTGCATGACCCCCATCCTAAAAACCTGGCTCTTTCCCAAAGATTTGAGTTGCAAAGTTTGGGGTCAAAGAGTCAAAGTGAGGATATTATCAGTTTTCTCAGAGCAAATAAATAGGGAGTTTCTATAATGGTTTTTCTTGCTTTCTAGTCTTCTAAATGGCCTCGTTTTGTTATTTTGGAGTTGGGCAGTTTAGACTCAGTGTGTGTATCCACCTGCCTGCCTGCCTGCCTGTATGTGTGTCCATGTGTTGAAGGGATTTTTGAAATCCAAGTCCACCAATATGTTATATCTGCTTCTCACATAATGTTTTGAGTTTAACATTAATGCTGTTATCTGGGGAGTATCCTGTCAACTTATCTTGTTCTTTGGATGGAGATACACTTCCAAAAGACTTCCCCACAATTAATGAACCTCAACTTTCTGGCAAGTGCACTTGAGTTTAAAATAGTTTTGTTTGTTTTTAGCAAAGACTCTTGTGGTCATTCTTTAAATCAGTACTCTTTAAATCAATAATCCGGGGTGGGTGGGGGTGGTTCCACCAATTTTTGTTCATTTCAAATTTCAGAATTCCCAAAAATTGCAAAGGGGCTGAAGAAACTTCCACACTTCTTTTTTTTCTGATACAAAGGATCCCCCAAATGAAAGTTATTCCTTGTATTACAGTTTTTAATCATGTTATCAAAATGGGAGTCTCCTCATTTGGAAGTAATGTTTATTGGTTATCAAATGTTAGGATTTAAAGACAAATTGAGTATGGCCATGAACTTTATACGCTGCTTATGAACTTCCAAAGTATAGCAAAAAGGGCATTGTATGTCTAGAAGAGAAAATGGATACAATATCAATAAAAATGGTCAGGAATTTAGATAATCCTCTTATGAGGAAAGCCAAAAGTTTGTGCGGGACATGACAGAGGTTGAGACATCTATCAGTTTGGAAAAGGTAGCTCAAAATATTTTCCTTCTCTTCTGTTCTCGTGTTTATGAATGTCATTTGGGAGGGGGAAGAAATGACAAGAAAAATTGCTAGTTTCATGCACTATACAGGATTCCATCCTGGAGGTATCTGATTGGCTTTTGCTAGAAGCAGGGTTTGGGGGTGACCAGAAATTTGGCTTGATTTAGAAAGGTAATGTGCATGTTGCTAGACGTTGAATTTGCAACCTTTGAGGAGAGTACTAGCATCAAACATAGAAACCCTTCCGTAAATCACCAAATGCTTTGTCATTCCATGACTCATAGCTTTATCCTCACATCACTTTCCCTGAAAACACTGCATTTGAAATGATAGCAATGATCGGTAATAAGCCATATCCTTCACATAAACATAACTTAATTTGATATTACAGACATCAAATAAAACAATTAAATACACACAACAACCTTTCCCTCAGTTTGGCGTGAAATCTAGGAACAAATGTAGCCAGTTTTATTAAAGCTGTCAAGACTGTATTCCTGTGTCCTAAACAGTTTCATTAAAAGCAAAACTATACACAAATGGCATATCCATTTTCTAATATATCCAAGTGGTCAAATGAGGAGGATATGAGGCGTGAAATGATAAACTGAAGGACTGTATTTGAGTGATGAAACTAACATGAAGGGCACAGAATGGGATAGGACTTTTTCCTGAGCTGCTAGAATTTTAGTTGCAAGGGATTGGTTTTATTTTACTCAGGGCAGGGGCATATTCAACACTGTCTTCTTCTTTTACAACCACAATATTCTACTATTCTTCTACGTACATAGACTGAGCTATAGTGGAGTGGTAGAATGCCTGGTGCCCAGTGACGTGCGGTGAGTTTTATAGCTGGAGAGGCACTGACACAGGGGTTTCAAATTGTTTTAGACTTGTGGACTTCAACTCCCAGAATTCCACAGCCAGGCATACTCAGCATTCCAACAGCATCTACATCAGGAATTTTTGGCTTTTAACCCTTGCTTAACTCTGCTCAAGTGATCATAAAATGCCAGACTAGATGAGGCACGTCATCCTGCCTCCTCCTGTAGAGGGCACTTTTTAAGAGGCTTTTTTAAACAGTTAAGCACTAAGCAGAGTCAACCACGGTGACTCTGGCAGCAACTAGTTCAGTCTGCCCTCAGCTCTTGCCTTTTTCCTTTTACATTTTTTTTTTTCATGATGACAGTGGTGAGGCTCTGCCTTCCCTGACTGCACGTCCCTGCTGATGCCATAAGAAAGCATTGTATTCCTGAAGACTTCCTGTGGGCGGAGCCTGTCGCCGAGGAACTCAACGGAGCTCCTCTTGCAGTTCTGGTTTGTATATCTAAT